GAGAGGAAGAAAAAAGAAAAAAAGAAAAAAAAAGAACCCCTGTACTGTTGAAAGGCTACATAACCAATCTAGTATTTACAGTCAGTCAAGAAGTGGAAAAAAGTGCTTCGCATAAAATCATGCAGAGGGGGGAAAGTGTAAGCACCTGTTAGAAGTTGCGATTCTTATTTTAGAGTACAATCATGAGATAAGTAGAACATATCACAGCAGCGTGAGTATTTATAGCTGGAGGGAAAGCTTTGCAAAAGTGGCAGGGGACTGCTATCAATCAACTTGTAAAATTTAAAGAATAATTTGTAAATTCTCAAATCCTAATTGCTTCTTCTAGGCACTGGTATGTACAAATATTTCATTTTATTTAGTTATTTGGAGTCTACATTTTTCTTGAAACTACATCTCAAAGTTTCATAAGAAATTTTTACTTCAGTTGGCATTGGATTAGATAATAGAATAGAATATCTTCAGTTGGAAGGGACCTACAATGATCACCTAGTCCAACTGCCTGACCACTTCAGGGCTGACCAAAAATTAAAGCACACTAAGGGCACTGTCCAAATGCCTCTTCAACACTGACAGGCTTGGGGCATCGACCACCTCTCCAGGAAGTGATGCTTCTGAATTTTTTAAACGAGCGTGTTTGCTATCCATGGCACAAAGCCAATTAGATTCAACTGTTAAAAACATCATTTTGCTTTTACTGAAATAGCATTTGTTGTCAATTTTGCTTACTCCTTTTAAGAATGTTTACCTACTTACACAAGTGTAATGAATTCAGAATAACATTTATGTTAGTAATATTCATTAAATAGGCAGGTAATATTCATTAAATAGGCAGGTAATAAAAAGCTGTTATAAAAGCACTAATTTCATAGAATCATAGAATCATTAAGGTTGGAAAAGACCCTTAAGATCATCGAGTCCAACCGTTAACCTATCACTGCCAAGTTTACCACTAAACCATGTCCTCAAGCACCACATCTACCCATCTTTTAAATAAAAAGGGATGATGGAGACTCAACCACTTCCCTGGGCAGCCTGTTCCAATCCCTGACCACCCTTTCAGTGAAGAAGTTTTTCCTAATATCCAACCTAAACTTCCCCTGGCGCAGCTTGAGGCCATTTTCTCTCATCTTATCGCTTGTTACTTGGGAGAAGAGACCAACCCCCACCTCGCTACAACCTCCTTTCAGGTAGTTGTAGAGAGCAATAAGGTCTCCCCTCAGCCTCCTTTTCTCCAGGCTAAACAACCCCAGCTCCCTCAGCTGCTCCTCATAAGACTTGTGCTCTAGACCCTTCACCAGCTTTGTTGCCCTTCTTTGGACACACTCCAGCCCCTCAACGTCCTTCTTGTAGTGAGGGGCCCAAAACTGAACACAGTACGCGAGGTGCGGCCTCACCAGTGTCAAGTACAGGGGCACTATCACCTCCCTGGTCCTGCTGGCCACACTATTCCTGATACAAGCCAGGGTGCCATTGGCACTCTTCGCCACCTGGGCACACTGCTGGCTCATGTTCAGGCAGCTGTCAACCAACATCCCCAGGTCCTTTTCTGCCAGGCAGCTCTCCAGCCACTCCTCCCCAAGCCTGTAGCGTTGCATGGGGTTGTTGTGACCGAAGTGCAGGACCCAGCACTGAGCCATATTGAACCTCATACAGTTGGCCTCAGCCCAACAATCCAGCCTGTCCAGGTCCCTCTGCAGGGCCTTCCTACCCTCCAGCAAATTGACACTTCCACCCAACTTGGTGTCATCTGCAGACTTAATGAGGGTGCACTCAATGCCCTCGTACAGATCATCAATTGAAGATACTGAACAGGACTGGCCCCAACACTGAGCCCCGGGGAACACCACTCGTGACTGGCCGCCAACTGGATTTGACTCCATTCACCACCACTCTCTGGGCTTGGCCATCCGGCCAGTTTTTAACCCAGCGCAGAGCGTACTTATCCAAGCCGTGAGCAGCCAGCTTCTCCAGGAGAATGCTGTGGGAGACAGTGTCAAAGGCCTTACTAAAGTCCAAGTAGACAACATCCACAGCCTTCCCCTCATCCACCAAGCGGGTCACCTTGTCATAGAAGGAGACCAGGTTAGTGAAGCAGGACCTCGCTTTCATAAACCCATGCTGGCTGAGCCTGATCCCCCCGTTGTCCCACACATGCCGTGTAATGGCACTCAAGATGATCTGCTCCATGACCTTCCCTGGCACCGAGGTCAGGCTGACAGGCCTGTAGTTCCCCGGATCCTCCTTCCAACCCTTCTTGTAGATGGGAAATTTAGGCATTTACAGAATGAAGCATGTAATAGCTCACAGTTTAACAAGTCAACATTTTAGAACAGAGTAAATTAAATCAAATCATTTCAATTATTTGAAACAAAGGCCATCAATGAATAATTGTTTCAGACATTTACTGTCATGTGGAGAGATTAGCATAGTTATAAGGTTTGTTACAATAAACAAGTAGCCAAGAGTATAAATTGAAATGGAATTACATACATCCAGAAAGCTAACAGTTACATGACTGCTAATATCTATCAGATACAACAGAACTCCTTTCAACATCTCTCCCAGTGCTGCATTTTATTCTTGTTGAAATAATTCTGATCAGTTCAAAGAACTCTAGAAGCATTTTGAAAATGCTATAATATTGAAGTATATAGCATAACCCTTCTTCCTCTCAAAGGCAATAAAACATGCTTTGGTTTGGACATCTGATTTAGGATTCTTGATTCTGTTGCAAATAGTATTTTTTTTTTTACTAAAATAAATACATTCCATGCAGTTCCACACTTCTATACTCATAATTCTCATATGATGTTCCTCAGCAAGTTCACATCATCAGCCACAAGAGAGCAGGATGGGAAACATGCCAAGAAAATAATATGAAGATTTAAGTTTAAGAAAAATAACCTTGTAATATTGGAAATGTTACAATGTAAAAGCATGATATATTATGTGATTCAAGTGCACAACTGGCATTGTATAATAGTGTGAAAGCAATTTTTAGTAATATTTTCAAGAACACTACTAAATAACAATGTATTTTGTCTAACAGTCAATGACAAAAATTCAGGTGACTGCCCTGCGTGTAGGGCAAAACAGCTGAGTACACATGCACATTGTTTTTACTAATCTTATGACTGCCAAAGAGCAAAAGCTTTTGAATGACGTAACATCAGCCTTAAAGTCACTCAAGTCCATTTTAGGACTCTAAAAACAGCTCATTAAAAAGAAAAAAGAAAAGGAGGAGGAAAAAAGGAGGAGGAAAAAAGGAGGAGGAAAAAAGGAGGAGGAAAAAAGGAGGAGGAAAAAAGGAGGAGGAAAAAAGGACAAAAAAGGCTGTAGCCAAGCCTAGTTCAGCTCAGGTAGAATACATTAATCTTGGTCAGCAGCTATAGCAGTTCAGCTTCTATACAGGTGAAAACTCGTGCCTCCTACTGTCCAAACCTGCTGTACGTTTGTATAGGAGAGGGGCAGGAAGAGCTAGAGCATGAAGCTCTTTGCAGGGCCAGCTGGCTTGAATCAAAAGATATCTTTATACTCTGAAGAGTACTCAGGCTGCTATATGCAGCTCTTGGAAGAGAAGCTTTAACAGGAAGCTTAAGCTGTCTCACAGTTGTACATCTGCACAAAGATGATACAGAAGTTTTCCATCACCCTCCCATTGCCTGCCTGTAACTGCTCTCTCTGTGTTAGCTTCCAGACAAGTCTGCTCTTCGGCTATTCCCAACAGCTGCCTCATCTCCTGTTACCAGTGACTGCCTGCTACCAAGTCTTTGCTTCCTTTTTGTCCTAAGCCTTCCTCCCATAAAAATGTAGGGTAAAACTGACTCCACCTCTATGGCTCAGGTGAAAACTGATTCATATGCTCTATGAGGATGATCATGTGCCATCTAGTCTGGCAGGAAGGCTTGTGCAGGGCTGAGAGGATGGCACATGCAGTTTGGTCCATAACAGAAGATCCAAGAGGCTCAGGGATACTCAGGGTGGATAGGATCTGCAGACATTCTGGCTGTTAAGCTCTACTCACTCACTAAGCATACAGAAAATGCGTTTTTAGAAGTTTTATAATCCAGCCAAATTTGGGTGGATTTGAACAGTAATGGAGGGGGGAAAAAAAAAAAAAATCTCTGCTAAAAGAGCTACCCTGCCAGGACAGTCAGATGATAAAGCTTTACTGTATACCAGCTGAATTCTTTAAAGCATTGAAAAAAAAATCCTCTGCCACCTGGCCATATTCTTAGAAATTAATTAAAGGTCTGGACTGAATTTCAGAACAAATTTGGCCTGAAACTGACACTTACGTGAAAGGTCTCAGAAAAGTTACACACCTCAGAGAGCAGTCTTTTGAGTGAGATGGGGTTTTAAATGAGCTTAATTTTAGATGTTTAAGTGAAGTGCTGAGCTTAGAGTTTAGCAAGTAAGGTAATGAAATTCAGTTGTAACTGCATATAGCTGAAACAGACAGGAGAACAAAGTAAACATGGGACACCTCCTTCAGAACAAAACAGATAACATGCAGTGATTTGATAAAAGTACAATACAAATTTAAATAGGAATAATAAAAAAGAAATGCAGAAGCTTGAATGATGGAATAATCAGTGTACGGGAAGCATTATGAACATCTGAGACAGACTTTTCCTCAGCAGTCAGAAGAGCCAGTAAAATAGCTTTTGGGATACAAAGAGAGGAGAAAGCTGGAAACAGAAATAGGGATTTTTGATTTAAAAAGAGGGAAAGATGGCCACTCACAACCAACCCTGAAAGCGTAGGGAGATTTATAGGCCACTATAAATCTTAACATAACTGGTAAGGATCTAATTTTCTCTGCTGCAGGTACGCATTACACGTATAGAAATTACATTTTTAATACTAAAAACCTGAAATCAGTTTTTAAGGGTATTACCGAAAGCATATTATAATATTATATTATTCTATGTGCAATAAATCTAAATTAAAATATGGAAATTACTAAAAATTACATCTGGCTATGAAGTTCTATGATTTATAGTGGGAGAAATTATTCTGTATAAAATACTTATAAAACATTCAATACTTACTGTAACAAGACAGCACACAAACTAAGAGTTCAACTATGTACTCTTAATTCTGACAACATTTCAAACAAGGGGCTAAAGTTCTTTGAATTAGCCTATCTGCCCTTACACCTGTGTTAATGGGAATTTCACATCTACTTCCCTCAGGAACACAGAGCTAATAAATAGTTTGATGAATGTTCTTTAGAGTTAGTCAGAATGGTGAACATAGGCTGCTGCAAGAAATACTGAACTGGAAAACCATATTTGTTTTCTCAAAATGACTTTGAGAAATACAAGCCAGGTCTTCCCATCATGTAAAAGATTCTTGAAGTAAGCAAGAAACTACATGTGATGTAAGGTTCATTTTCTTTTTCTCAGAACTGTTTTGTGAATGTGTGTGCATTTGTGCATGCAGGGAAAAGGTGGGGAAGCCTCTCCTGAAACAGAATGAGGCAACTCAGACACCAGACAGCGCTTTAGATAAGATGAGATTCCAGACTTGGAAAGTTTTGTTCAATGGCAGAAAACAAGTCCACCAGTTGTTAGTTCCTTCTGATGCCCTCTCCTTGCTTGCAAGTCCTTATCTCACAACGATAAGCTATTTTACTTATTACATAGCCATGCTGTAGAACTTGGACTGCAGCAAGACCCAAGAGTCATAACAGGTATGAACAAGATCAAATTCTCACAACATTGGCTAGTTGCAATCCTTAAGTAGGCTCATGAGCAGTGTGTTGGTTAAAATTCTTCCACTGCTACTTTGTGCCTAAAAATAACAATTTATCTAAAACGAAGCATTTTGCATGGTTAACTGATTCATGAACTATCACATTATCATAGTTCATTTAAGACTTACTTCTAAATGGCCTGTGTAATGTATTAAAAAGATTATTTTTAATTTTTTTTTTTTTAGATTAGGTGGCTGGAATTCTTCATTTCTCCCATTTGACAAACACACTTAGGATTAGATTCAGTGATGTGTGATAGCTTTTCTTTTTTTTTTCTCTTTAGGTATGTTTTACCCAGCAAGTCTTCTGTACTAAAATACTCTTCACATGGGTGAGTTAAAAAAAAAAAAAAAATCTTCTTGACCTAATATATGTTCTCAGCTAATAGTCTGATGAACTTGCATCCATCTGGGGTGTTTACCTTAAGCCAGGAAACTAACACTCAGCACAATGTGCAATTTAGATGGAATGCATGACAAATCAGCATAGAGCTCAGTGCTGACAATATTTTCCAACAACGTTAAAGTAGCGGATGTTTTCACCTAAAGTGTAGAATACAGTGTCCTCAAATCCAGTGACAGTAATACATTTTAAACTGAGGATGTGCCAGATTAGAAATCCTCTCTTTCTTTACACCAGTTTGCATAAAACAGGATGATCTGGATAACCTGTGATTTTGTAATCACAGTAAGGTTCTTCACTTCAGCTGAGCTAACAATTCAAAAAAACCCCACACTTTATTAGAACACAAAATTACTTTTTATCAGTGATATAAATTAGTCAAAAGGGAGAATTATCATCTCTTATTGATTTTTTAAATTTATCTGCAAATAAAACATGTAAAAACATGTAGATGCCACAAATTTGAGTGGCAAAATGATGAATATGTCTGGGGAGCCCCCACCTGCTCTCTGTATAGTTCCAGTATACGTTCAGCTATTGCTGTGGCAAATAAAGCACAGAGAAAGACTACAAACCAAAAAGCAGATTTCCATCCTTCACACACACATGAATTGCATAGCATCTTCTATATCTGTAAAAGCAACACTAGATGTTTCAAGACTACCGTGAAGTACAAGCCTAAGTTCTTTTCTCAAAGGTTACAGTTTTCTGTAATAACATCACAAAGCACATTTTTGGACAGCTTTGATATAAATGGTTCAGAACAGACAGACATATAAGCCTCCACATCAAATTGATAAACAAGTGCTTGAGCAACTTCAGTTCTCATTCCTTAGTCTATCAAATATTTGAAGAATTCTAAGAATATCAATTGAAAGATCATTCATAGCTTCATCAATTAATCGAAACACACTAATACCTAGTGATGATTAGATTTAGTTTTATAAACTAAATATACACAAACAGGTTTCAGCCTCAGGTTTCCAACAAGTGTCAGAAAACACCTCTGTAAGAGTGCTTACTTTGGTTGGAGGAGAACTGTTGTGTTGTGCCTCTTTTGATTGTCCCTTGTCTTCAGGTAAGGTTGGCATGGTGGACAGTATGAAGCACGTGGAACTGCAATGTGGACTAACAGGACCATGCACTGCTGAGAATATCTGTTTCAAGTTAGCCTGAAGGCGTAAGCGCTGAGAGGCCTTGTGATCCGCAGGCTGTGTTAGATGCCAAAAATACAAATCAAATCCATTTAAAACTCTATGCTCTAACACTGAGATCACTTTACAATAACAAACAGTATTAAGGTTTAAAATTAAAAATGCTATCTTGTGTTTTACTAACTAAAGTTTTCAAGGTCAAGTATAACTTGGTAAATGCATTCAAAATGGACAACCTTCCATTCTTGTTGCTATTTTCATCTCTTCCCTCCATTTTACATATTTTTTTTTTTGTTACTATGACTGTTTTGGCTGTGACCAAACTACCCTATCGAAAAATCCTCTAAGAAGGAAACAGCATCCTGGATATCCATAATATGTCTTTTAGTAACTAACAAAGTCCTGGTGCTACAGAGCGTGATCTCAGATCTCAAAGAAAGGAGTAAAACTGGAAACCCAGATGGTGGCACTCTTCCTTTGAGTAAGAGCAAGGCCTAGGTGAATTGTGCAAAGACTTGGTGTACATTTACACAAGACAACGCTATGCAAGATACTTCCGAAGCAAAACAGCAGTAATGCCCAAGTGGAAAAAAAAATACCACTGCCTATTAGCTAAGAAAATTCTTGTTATTAGTATCAACGGAAGCTACTGCCTTCACAAGGATATTATTAGCATTAAAGCCTGTACAGAAGGTGAGAAATGTTAAGTACTAATCCTTATAGCTACAGTGTATGTATTACAAGACTTACTATGACACCTACCGGATAGTTAAGGAACAGTCCTCACAAATAAATCATTCGACTCCTTGGTGGTGCCTACAGACGACGACAGACAATGCAGTTATCAGAGACAATCTGGTACACAGTTTCTGTCTGGACTCGTAAGAGCTAACTATATTCCCTTTACAGTTAATTCACAGCTGTGTATAGAACGGAGCTATACACTCAAACAGTAATACAACAACTTCAATAGTGTGCCAAGGAGATAAATATACCCAACAAGCATAGGTTCAGCCTCCAAAACATATTATCTTCTCCCAAACCTGAATTACTAATCTCATCTCAATTCTTTTACTCTTCTGGAAATCAAGATAGATGGAAAAAAGAGTTTGGGATGGGGAGATGATTTGAAGTTCAAGGCACTTTGCAGCATTGTAAGATTAACCTTCTACAGTTTTCCCTTCCATTTCAGGGAAGAGCAAAGAAATGTATTCAGGAACATGTTGGTTTATTGAGACTGACAATTAAAATTGTCAAAATACTTGTGTTGATTTAAAAGAAAAAAAAAAACAGAGAGACAAAACTATTCACAGGAAATACTGAAGCAGCCTCAGTAGTGACAAGTTCCTCACCTCAGCTTTCACAGAACAAATTCTGTGTTGTGAAACCTACAAAATGTGTGAAAAGTTTGGACTACAGAAGCAGCTAAGACCCATGCTTTTATTAGATTTATTTCACATTATATTAGAAACTTAATTTTCTCTTTTACTAGAAAAGGAATACAAAGCCACCTCACATGAAACTTAATGCAGAACTAATAGATTGTAAAAATGATCTCTACACAAGTATTAGTGTGTTTAGAAAAAATAATTATTTCATTGAAGTTCTTTGATAAAGACAATGGAAAAGGCACAGCATATATGACACCATTATGAAGACCAAGATAAAGACTTTTTTTGAACAGTGAGCATAATATTTTTCAAAGCAGTGTATGCTGTAGGAACAGCATGTTTCAATCTTTTGTAGACATTTTGCACCTGTTACGGGTGAATTTCTAGCTCTACTACAATAAGTGGAAGCTCATGTTTGTATCATGATTTTACCCACCTCTGACTTCAAATAAGAGTAGAGGAAGCTTTCTATGAATAAAAAGAAGATTTAAAAATATTTATTAAGGCAAAATATCTTTAAAGTCCCTAATATGATGGAAAACAGACATTTATGATTAAATATATTTTAATGAACCCACAGAGATTAGGCAGATAGCAGTAGTATTAAACATCTCTGTGTTTCAACAGTGAAGTATTTTTGTATCAAACAACAGTCACCAACTATTAACGACACATGAAGACGAGACAGAAGCGAGGTAACAAAAAAAAAGTGACATGGACTTGCTTTTCATCTCTGTAACAAAATCCTGTCATCCTACGCAATTTCTGAGTTTGCAAGAACTCAAATTCAAACAAAAACAAAAAAGAGAAGATATAAATTAGGCTGTTTATCTAATCCCTCTTAGTGTTTGCCTTATGAATTTACAATGGTTCTGATAGGCTCAACTCAACAGAATGCTGGGCCTGAAAAGTCAGGAACATTTCAAGTCACGGCCAAAGTGTATTTGCAGTCCTACGTGGAGCTGTATAAGCTATTGCATCAAAGTGGTTTATTCCCTGTCTTAGCTGAGTTCCTAGTACGTACTAAACTTAAAAAAGTAATGCAAGTCATATTGAAACAAGAAAGAGCTATTAAGCACATCACGTTTCACTTCATTTTTCAGATTTAAAAAGCAAAAAAACTTTAAAAGAAAAAAAATCAGCAGGCTTGTCTAAGAATAGAAAGGCACAAATCCTGAGTTGTGTTGTCTTAGAGATGCAGCACAGAAAGTACAGCCAAGGGAGAGCGGAGGGTAGAAAGATGAATTTACGCCACCTTTACAACCCCCAGATTTGGAGTGGACTGAGTTCAGTCCATCTCCGACACAGTTAGAACCTTACTCTGACTTCCTTACAGAGCTATCTTGCAAACAGGAAAAAGCTCCAAGTCTTTGTGGTGCTGATCAGTAGGAAAATTTTTTCTGACTTTCCATTTTTTCCTAATATCTCTCCAGAAAACCCCAGTGCTGAGGACTGTATCGGAGCAGAGAAAGCTTGCATATCCTGATTCATATTCTGAGGCTTCTTAAAACAAATGCAGTCTTTGCACACCTTTACTGCACTTCTGCAATACTCTAAGGTGCTAAAAGTAAGGGCTACTACTTACTGGTATTTCAACAAAATATATAAGGACATAGTTCAGCTCATAAGCTATATGACTTAGAACTACTGAATCATTATTTTTTCAATCTAAAAGCTTATTTTTAACCTGTACAGTGTTCATAAAATCAGTAGTCCAGATCCTTTAAAGACTTTATGATGCTTAATCAGCACAAACATCACTTCTTGTATATGCAAATGGATGTAACCAATGGAGCCACCTTCTTGCTCCATGCTGTGCAAGAAGTTCTGCCATTTTCTGTATGAATTACTGCCTTCTGATACTAGCAGGAAAGGCAAAGGTTTAGAAATTATGAAACCTTAAGATACTAGCGAATAATTGTTCTTCTTCCATCACTGCTGAAGTGACCTTATGCCTGTTTGATTGGGCAACGAAAATAGCCCCAGTAAATGTCAGTAAGAGTCAAAACATAGAAAAAGGAGAACACTCTAACAAGAATTAGAGGAGCTTCTCTGCATCTCACAAATGTAGGAAGAAAAGAAATGTCCTTGGAAAATTTATTTCCCTGGAAGGTACATTTTTTCTTCTTCAGTAGAGCATTAGGGAGGAGTACAGCCTTGGAACCTACAGAAATTCGCACCTCTATCTACAAAAACAGCTTACAGCCTTACTGAATCTGGAGCCAAAGTACAGAGAGCATGACTATCCTGGTTCTAAGCCTGGTTCATCTGCCAGCTGAACAGCCTTTAGAATCATGCTGCTTTGCCAGCTTTATCTCCCCTCCACAAGCATAAACATGTTTCAGTCAAAGGAAGAAATGATATGTTAACAATACATTCAATGCAGTGAGATACCAACTGAAGCAACTGTAATTATTGTCCCTGAAGATACTGAAAGGATAGATAAAAAAAAAAAAATACATCTGCACTATAGCAACAGCCAAGATGCATAAGCACATGTTAGCATCCTGGTCACTAAGACAATTTCAAGATTCTGTTATTTCTTTTGTCAGGCATTGATCAAAGTCTGTCTGGCCTACCTCTATCCTATCAAAGGATGTCATGAGATTATTGTAGTGTTTTATCAGATTAAATGAACCCCTCCAAATTCCAGTCTTTTAGAAATTGCAAGACCTTCAAAATTACCTTTTAAAATTAAATACTTTTAGAGATTAACTCACATGTCACAAGAAGAGTGGATGTAGGCAAAGATCTACAATCTTAGTCTGCACAAGCCTTTTGCAACTACAAAATGAGTTTAAATAAAAAACAAATTACCTATCCTATTCACAAGATTCTGCTTATTCCCACACTAAGATGAACAATGTAAAGAAAATAAGTAAGAAAAAGAAAGAAAGAAGAGAGGATAGAGTGATTTTTAATGTTTTGGTGTGTTATTGTAAATTCACTGCTTAAAATAGTTAGGAAAAAAATGATCCCCTGAGCTCAAATTTGTAGTCAGATATAGATCAGTGAATGCAGAGAACTTTCTTCTACCACTGTGTAGGCTTACAGTACAATCTCCAGGAAATGGTGATCTGGGAGCTCTATTCCATAAAAGGGAAAAGTATTTAGAGGCCCTTGGCTTTCAGTGTGTTCTCTCTGCAACTCATTTTACCATAGTAGAGAAAGCTAAGTATGATCAGTTAACTTACCCTCTCTGAGTCACGGCTGAGTCCCGTGTTAGCAAAGGCTTAGATAAAGGTGCTTTACTCCATCTCCACTGATAGTTTGGCAGTTAACCTCAAATGCTCTGTCACGTCACAACAAGGATATATAAAAAAAAGCAGAAATAAACAGTCAAGAAAGCATTTTATTAATATTTCTTGACCTCACACTGCCTGCGGTCAAGTCAAGCAACTCTCATTTGTCAACAATGGGAGTTGCATACTCATGAACACAGCCGAACTGCACAATTCTGAGCTGCTTTTTGTAACTCCTTACTTTGTTGTCCTGCAAAGTGTTGTAAAACATTACCATATTAGAAAGGTATCTTTTTGTACTCCTTTTGTATAGCTGTAAAAGCATATGGAATTCATGTAGC